GATCTTCTTTGGCCTCTAAACAGCCCTGAGGTCCCCAAGTTCGCTCTCCGGGGCCATCACCGATATGCAACACGACCCTCCCTAAGGCAAACTTATCATCTTTTTTTCCCCCAAAGCTGTTTTCACACTTGGGAATTTATCCCTCCCTGCTCTGGTAAAAAGATGGTGTTTGATTTTAGAAGTCGGGAGGGCTTTGTAAGCAGGGAAACTGCAACTTGACTCACTGTGACTTAAATAAACAAAAATTGCTTTTCTGGTGTGAAAGGATAAGGGGGGTTGGCTGGGGCAGGGGCACGTGGCTTCCCATCCGCTGGGCTCAGGGCCCGCGTTTATATGCAGACAGGACGGTGTGGCAGCAGCGACACCTGCCCCAGGGAGGGCATCACCTGGCCAGGTGTGCAGACCACTCCCGCCTAGACCAGCCCCAGAAACACCGCTGCGACAGGAGCGTCTCTCTCAGGAGTGAGACAGTAGTCACAGCTCGCGCAGCAGCTCCGTATTTACTCACAAGACAGACAGACGCCCGTTGCCAAGCCAGACAGGAACTCAGGCTGTGCTCCCGGCAGCCCCACCCGTCTCTCAGTCCAGTCCAGCCAGTCAACTGCAGGGGGTCACAGCTTCCCCTCCCCCCTGCAGCAAGCCTCCCCTTTACAGACTCTGGCCAACACAGGTGTGCGGGCCGTCTGGGGCTCACACAGCTCCACTCCCCCCACTTTGCAATCCCTCCCCCTAAGTGACCAAACCTGTCTGTCTGTGGAGTGTGTTGTCAGCTTTGGAGTGGGATTCTCGGGCCTGGAGACAGGTCAGGGGCAGCAGGTGGAAGGCACAGATAAGGAGCTCCAGCCAGGAGGGGCCTGGGCAGGCCACGCGGGCCTGAGGCGAGGAAGCAAGATGGCGATCGAGGGGGGGCAAGAGGCAGCCTTGGGCGTGGAGAACCTGCCGAGCCCCAGGATGCCCACGGTCCTCCTTCCCGCAAGAAGGCTCCACTCAGCAGGCGAAGCTGCTGACCACAGGGGTTAGCGCCTCCTGCCCTGGCCGCTCGCTCCTCACACAGCCCAGAGGCCACGGCTCCCACGGCCCCTCCAGTCCCCGTGGCGCCCACGGCTCCCACGGCCCCCACGGTCCCCACAGTCCCCATGTCTCCCCCAGCCCAGGCCAGCGTCAGACGCGGCATCTCACAGGGTCACCGGCGGGCACAGGCTGGCCACACGCCCGCGTCTGCGCAGAGACCCCACACAGCCCAGCACTGACCCAGCTCTCGCCACCCGCGGCCAGGGCGCCACGTGCCTTCCAGGGCTCTTTCCAAACAGCCTGGATTTATTCTTAACCTTCTCGCGTCTCAAACCCACCACGAGCTCCTGAGGACGCTACCCTGTGGCTGACTCATAGGTGACCCGTCCCACCTCCTGTTGCGAGGTGGGAGGCAACAGGGCGTTCACCTGCAGGCCACGGGCCATCGGATGCGGGTCTGCCCCCCACCGTTGTCCCCCCACCCCCTCACACACCAGCCACCCTGGAAGCACAGGCCAGGTCCCGCTGCTGTCAGAAACGCCGGCGCCCAGCCCCTCAGAACAAAGCCCGAGTCCACCACAGCAAGGCCGGCCGGCCCCCACGAGGCTCCCGCCCTGCCCTTCCAAAGGCTGCGCGCCCTGCCGGCCCCTCAGCCTGGCCCCTCTTGGCGCCCACGAGCTTCTCCGCCTGCAGCGCTTGGCCAGGTTGGCAAGTGCTGCCCCCTCCGTCGGGTCTCTGTGGTTGGCCGTTACCGAGGCTGCCGCCCGGACCCACGAGGCGCTAAGGACTGAGGCCACTGACGCGAGGGTGTGGTGTGGGGACATCCCCCTGGGGGTGAGCCTGCACCCCCACAGCAGAGACGGGCTGTCAGCCCAAGCCCCCTTAATCATAAATAAATCAAATGAGCTGCGCCAGCCCCTCAGCCCTTCGCCTCGGGCCCGCCTCGATTTCGCTCTAGGGTCCTCTCTTTTCCGCTGATTCCTCCTGAGGTGACATTTACTAACGCACGGCTCTGCCTTCCCGCCCAGTCTCCCTGCTGTGGCTTCACGGGCCCAACAGCCCTTGGGCAGACTGTTCCCCACACGCCTGGCCCCGAGCCCCGGGAAGCTCCGCCCGGGAATAGCCTGTCAGCGTGTCCGGAAACACGCAGTGAAAGAAACCCCGGGCACACCCACGCACAGACACCTAGTCCCCCCACAGGCGGGCCAGCGTGCCCGGCACACGGCAGAGCTCCAGCACCGTCTCCTCGCGCTCCCGCTCCTGCGAGCGGCGCTCGGAGCCCCGCAGCTGCCCCGTTACCTAAAATGTCTCACAGGAATCAGGCCTGTGCTGGCTTTTCCTTTTTATTTTAAGCCCATGTTCTCATTTATCCTTTTTTTCCCTCAAAATAGTCCTTAAATCAGTCACGCTGAGATTTGAAAGGCGAAGAGTAAGGAAGTGCAGGGTAGCCTCATTGAGGGAGAATTTAAATAGCTTGTAAAGAAAATGGTAGGGACTGACTGAGCAGCTGCCAGGTCTCAGTGAGTGGCAGGGAGGACTGAAAGCTGAGGTGGGTGGGGGAGGTGTCAGCCAGGGGTCCCCAGGGGGTAAGCCCACCCGCCCACTCCCCCACTCGCTGAGGACACCCCAGTGTGAAACTGCCCATCAGCCCTCCATGGCGACTGAGCTGAGTCAGGCTTGAGACCCGAACAGCGTCCTCAAGGAGGGCAACTGGAGTGTGGACTTTGGAGGTGAATAAAGGAAGACTCCGTTCCACACACGGGTGATTCACACAGCCACCGCCATCCTCAAAGGACAGGCAGGCAGAATGTGGACCCCCACACTCAGCAATCTGGGGCAGGTTCCCAGGGGACAGATACCCCACAACCTCCCCTCAGGGGCTCCTCCGGGAGGAGAAGAAAGGCGTCTTCTTTGTTCTGTCAGCTACAGGAGACTTGGCGATTGGGACAATGGAGCCCACACATTCTGGCAAAAACAACATCCCTATATTCCTCTATGGGCTTCAGCCCTGTTCTGGGGTCCTGCAGGCTGCTGTGCCTGCAGGGCGCCGGCTCCCCATTCCCCACACCACAAAACCTCCTTCATCCTTTCAGAACCCCCGCTCTCTCCATGAGAATAAAACATGAACATCTTGCCATTTCACCCACACTTTGGGGGGAGCAATTTAACTATAATGCCCAGGAAACATGTTGTTTGCCGTGAAACAGCAACATCACCATAAAATCCAGCCTGTTTACAAAAGCTGAGTGAACATAATTTGGGTGTTACTGCCAGAAATTATTGTACCATTAAATTACTGACATGGAAAATGGACAAGGTACTAAAATATCTCAGTGTACTGTGTAACTGTCACTAAGAAGGAAAGTCTTCCTGAATGGAGAACAATTAATAAAACTTATAAACAACCAGTCAGAAGTACGGTTTGAAAGCATCTGTTTCTCAGTTTTTCCGATTAATGTTTCCACTTGCGGTAGGCAGAAATAATAGCTATTGCATTATTGATGATTCAAAAATTAGGAGGATATTTCCATTTAAAATTGTCACTGTTCAATTTACAAATGAACTACTCTGGCTTTCCGGACACATATTTGCACATATGTGATAGAAATAAACAAGGCACTGTGGTATCCAATCTTACGATAAACACACATTAAGGCTTTAAAAAGTTACTTTTGGGGCCTCCCTGGTGGTACCAGGGGTTAAATCTCAGCACAATCTCAGCAGTCACTGTGGCCTGAGTTCGAGCCCCAGCCAGGGAGTGACCCCCAGGGCGCAGCAGACCTCTCCTGTCGCCCCGCTTCTCCTCTCGGCAGTGGGTTTCAGTGGATCAGCTCATTCTGCTCGCCACTTTGTCTCTGTTGAATCTTCTCAACCCCTCCCCACACACCTTTGTCCTAACCCCCACTTCTTGGATGCCTAAATAAATTTTTTTTTCTTAAAGTTATTTTCTATCACCATTGCAAACTGTCATTTACCATTCACGAGTATGACTTCATTACCACTACATGGAAGCAAACTTACTTCATTATAGATGAAGCTATATATTTGTGGGATTCATTGTAAGTCTTTGAATGATTACCCCAAGGATGCCCTCTCAAATGCAACGGGATGACTAGAAACTTAAATTTTATAGGCATTACGGGTAGACAGGTAGAACCATACATTATTTCAAAATTTCAAAAGATTTCAAAGGACATGCATCTCCCAAAATATATTACTGAAATGGCTTTTCAGCGTAAGATTGCCCTCCCATAAAAAATTTAAAAATGGTTTGGAAAATTACCTAAATTCACTACAGTAAATTCAATGTCGGGTGATTCAAAGTTTGTGTACGGGGAAAAAATCTCAATATGAACATTTTTCAAGTTGAAAGGAAAGGCTCTTTCTGCAAGTAACCCAGGCGTGCATGCAATGCTGTCTCCATTGAGTTGTGTCTTCCTGAAACGTGGGGAGTCAACTCGGTTTTGGTGACTAGCTCCTCCCCAGAAATGCACAAAGCAAAGACTAAATTTTGCAGTATTTCAAAAAGTGCATGTGGAAAACAGATTGAATTCTATTAAGCGGTATGCTCTGATAACCCCTATGGTAGGCCACTACTTTTTAATGTCTCTTCTCCACCTCCTGATGGAGGTGATTGATGTCTCCAAGCCTGAATCACCCTGGAGACAGGACAGGGAGCGTTTCCACTCATGCTCCTTGATACTCAACTGTTGAGAAACTGCTTGCAAAGGGCTCACGTCCACAGAGGGCAGCAGATGGACTACGGTGACATCACAGATGTTTCGAGCACTGACAGCCACGCCCTGCTCTGATGGCATCACCGAGGTCACAGACACAACAGTGGACAGGACCACTGGCTCCTCCCCGCCCGATCCCCTGACAGCGGGTGTGGGGGGCAAGGGGCGTGCCTGATGCACATTTCTGCACCCCACAGCAAAGCATGCCTCTGGATGCCTTGGCAGCTAGAGGAGGAGGAAAGGGCCATTTACCTGTCTATGATGGCGCACATGTCGATGCTGACGTTGGCAAAACTTCCCGGCCTCCTCTGGGCCACTTCATATAAGTTCACAAGCTGATCGTCCACCTGAATGAGCTGCATGCATCCTTGGAACGAAGGCTGAAGGACAGCGGGGCTGGCGTTGTTCATCTGGTTCAGGAAGCCTGTGGGGGAGAAGCCGGAAGGCTGAATTCTGTGTACAGCAACTCAGGCCAGGGGCCCTCTCTGACCCCCCTCCTCCCCAGGGCTGTTTCCTGGACCCCTGTTGATGCCTTATACAGTGTGGAGGGGCAGAGTCCTTTTGAAAAGAGCTGCAACTTCAGGCGAAGAAGCAGGATTGAACCTAAGTGAATGTCTCTGGGTCTGCCAGCCACCTGTTTTCACCTGTGACATCTTTCTTTTTCACCTGTCACTTTTCTCTGCCTCTCAACAGTTGAAGGCTCACCTGACCTGCCTGTGGAGAGACAGGACTGAACACCACAGGTCTTGCTTCACCCAGACGCCTTCTTTTCCACTCTCAATAATGACTGCTAGTTTCTTAATTTCCCAGAGGCTGTCATTCAAATTTCAAGAAGCTAAATTTAAGGTGAATCAAAGTAGATTTCTTTTATGGACTAATATCTAAATTAATCGAAAGAGATACTTGCATTGTGAATAATTTCTCAATTTATAAAATTCCTAAGAAGGATTATAGAAATAAATGTAGGCCTAAGTGTCAACCACCCTGATTTGAATATTCAGTTTTTATAAGATACTTAATATGGTACAGGAAGCATCGATGACAAGAAATAAAACTAAAATGAATAAGAAGCAAAGAGAAAGAGTATATACTGCGAGCTTTGTCAGCAGAGAGAACAATTACATAGATAGAGCATCAGAGCTGACTTAAAAAAGTTTTTTACATATTAACTTTGAAATCTCATCATGAATTACCAGTATACCTTTTCAATAGTAAAATGTGTAATTATTGTTACACACAGAAAATTTCTATGCTACAGGAAATAATATTTCTCAATCCCATTTAAATACCCACAGAAATTCCCCCAAAGTATCTGACTTATTATAACATTCCTGCATTGAATTCATAAGCCAGAGCAAATTCAGCTATGTTAACTTGTCTCCCTAAAAATATAAAGTCATTCACATCATTAATGTCAGTACAACATACCTACAGCCAAAAAAAAAAAAAAAAATTCTATGGAGAAAGAAGCACCATTAATTGGAAGAAAGTGAATTTCAGTTCAAACTTTCCCAAGAAATTGACCACTAAGTTATTTTTCAAATATATCCTATTCAGTTTGGTAATATTAGTTCAAGATAAAAGAGACCTCCCCTTTCCATTTATTAATGAGCTAGAATACTTAAAATTTATAATTACCATTTGAATTCCCCTTCAAGGTTAACCAGGAAGGTGTATACTATTTTTCATCAACACTGTACTGTGTGAAAATAGCATTATCCTTAATTTCTTGACTTACAAATTTATACTATGTTTGACAGTGTGACTGAGTCATATATTCAATTTCCCATACCACACAGTTTCATTTGCATTGACTTTTAGTCCCTTCAGAAAATTGCTGATCTTAGATAAGTGGTCTATTTAGGCTAGCTGTATGCATACATATGATTTTCAATCTGTTTAATCATGATAAATTTGAATAGAGTTTAATGTCTAAACATAGCAGAGAAAACATCAAGCTGTCACTTTATTGACTATTCTTAACCAGTCATTTATTTGTTTTTTTTTTTTGAATACTTGATAGTCTCTCCATGCCCGCCCCAGCTCTGAAACATTCCAAAACGAGGAGATCTATTTGTAAAAACAAGCCCTTCTATGAAGCAAGGCAGCTGCATGACATAGATCACTACAGATTGGGTAGAATTAAGTTCATCAAACAACCCTTCATCAGTCACTCATAACTATCCTAGTTGGCCCTGACGAATCTTGGAGTTTGAAGTTATCCAGCCCTTTTATCTTTCTGCATCAGTTATATTCTCAGAAAAAGTAATAAGAAACCAACTGCTACAGTCCCATGCAAAAGCTAGTGTTTTCTCTCTCGTCGTGTTATCTTTAACATGTGCAAGCGGGACCCTACCACTCTTTGCTTCTTCACACCCTTCTGTGGTCCCCTTTCCAGGAGTGAGGAGGACTAAGCTCTGTGGCCACAAAATAACCGTGGGAATGGGGCTTTCAGCTCCAAGGCTGGTTGTTAACATTGTCTCCAAGTTGCTCTGAAAAATCTGCCAGCATCCCATGGGCAGGGTCACGAAGAGGCCAGGAGAGATGTTAAATCATGGCTGTGAGTTATTACATTCTGGGATGAATTGTCATGCAGCAGCAGCAACAACAACAAACTAATAAAAGAAGATGCGGTGCTGAGAGAGAGCATCACCCCAAGCTAAAGATGCGCCAGTGACTTCAGGGCTGGGGTCTCCAAGCCAGTTGGAGTGGCTTTGAAGGGCTGGCGGCAGACGACTGCAGACTTCTTTATAATCTTTCTAGTGGAGGGTGGTGGAAGAGGGAGAACTAAAAGTAAGGGTTGTCTTAAGAAGGGGCCATTGAGGACATACAATTTCTTATGGAGGCTATGTCAGGAAAGCTAATCCAGAGCACATGGACTGAGCTGCTTCACAGGAAGATATGACAGAACTGGCTCCTGTGGTGATGGACACTGTTCAGGGCCAGCTGACTGGGAGAGCTCCCCAACTGCTGGCAGCACAATGCTGACTGCTTGTGCCCCGGCCACTAGAGGGCAGAAGAGAGCATCAGGTCTTTCAGGAGGGGGAGAAGGGTGATGGGTGATCTGAGGAGTTGACAGCTGGATTTTTTCAAGTCCAAAGTATCTGTGGGATGTTTAAGGTAATACAATGCTTAATCCACAAGTTAATTTCTGGACAGCAGGAGAGAGGCCAATCAGAATTTGGGAAATATTTGAAAAATGGGATGCTTCACCTGGTGAAGTCGCACATGTGTTAAGTAAAGAAACCTGGGTCTGCATTTCTATAGCGGCAGGAACTGTCAAACAAACCAATGAGAAAACCAAGAGGTAGAAGAAAAACCAAGGGGCGATGTCAGGGGAGTGAAGGATAAACAACAGTGCCAGAGATCACAGAAGCCCAGGCACAAGGAATCGGGAGCTGCGACAAGCTCACCACTCAGGTCAGTGAGATTGTGGGAAAATGGACAAGTGGGTGATGCACTGATGTCCGAGGGTTCACACAGGTGTTTCACGGAGGCACAGAGCCCGCGTGTAGTAACACTAGAACACAATCAACTAGTGAAATAATGAAAGGTGAGCTTCTTTGGAGGTAATTTTTATGAGTTAATTTTAATTATGCAAATTTTAAACTGATTTATTGCCTTTTGAATTTTAGTATGCTATTTATTTTTAATAGACATGTTTATTTCTTGATGATAATGGATGACTAGGAACTGCAAGGCTCAGACTTGCTTCCACCACTTTTTGACACGGGTAAATTAATTAAAAGCTCTTTATTTCTTCTTCGGTAAAACGGACACAATTATAATACTCCAGTACAGGAGGTTGCTGTAAGGAATTAGTGAGAATATGTTTACGAAGGAAGTGCCTAGGAGTGTCCATAACATATGCCGAGGAGTGTTAGACATCATTACATCATCTTCTTCATCACCACAGTTCTCTCATTCCAATGATTTAGCTTATTTCCGTTCTCTTTGTATTTGTGAAGTATCCCAAACCACATGAGTTTTATCCTTAGGTTTCCAACATCTCATTAGAGAGCTAAGTCTCAGAAACATAACTATAGTTGTTAAACAGTTACTGCCTACCCATGAGTACATGAAATGCAGGTATTAGAGAAGTGGAAGACTGCTATCTCATGTGTAGTATTTCTTCTCACTCGGAGCATGATACTGCCTAGGAATTTAACTGTCTCATATCCATCTCCTTCAGAGATTTCTTATCTGCTCCCTGGTCTGTCAAGGTAGGGCTTGGTGTAAGTTTGCCCCGGGTTGTGTCTGTTTCCTTGGCAGTCTCTCTATAACAATGATTTTAACCAAAACCATGGCTTCAACTACCAACTCGGTAAGTATGTTTACATCAGCTTCTCCCTTTTACCTGTCCTCTGAATTCAGGACTGATGCATTCAGAGGTTCCCTGGACTTCTCCAATCCAATGCCCCACACAAGCTCAACTCCAGGTAAACTCTTTCGACCTCGCTGCTGTTGACTCTTTCATATCAGTGGTCACACACAGAGTCTTTTCTCTTCTTTCCTCATCTAAAGAATCACACATATTCAGCAACCAGAAGCTCCCCTAGCACTTCCATCCTCGCTGCATATATATATATATATATATATATATATGTATATAAACACACATTTTAGAAAAGTTAAAATCTTTAGTATACTACAAAAACTGATATTTATTATACTTTATTGCCTTAGCAGGATCAACTATGATTAAAAATAATTATGTGGGGTCACCTACTTTGTTTAATGCCCATTAAGAAATGCAAAATGTGTTTATGGGAATATTAGTTTAAGGAGAAAAGATAGCAGGTATAATTCCATGAGTGTACTTAGTATGCATGGAAAAATTATAAGAACATGGAAAATAAAAGGAAGCCAGAGAAATGACTAGGTATCTTGACAAACAAGAAGAGTTGGCAATTTACAAATCAAATGACACAATATGATTAAAAAGCCCTAGCTGCCCAAGGTCACCATAAAAGGAAAAACAGAATTACCAACAGAATCATTTCATTCTTTTATGTCTTATTTTTTTATGCTAAGTGGCCTTCTGAAAACGTCCTCATGTTTTCACACAGGGAGAGGGTACCAAAACACCAGACTTCACACTTGATAAATGTAATTCTTTATGGTCACAGCCCCCAGTACATCTCATGCACAAAACAGGCAGATGCATTCATACAGTCTCAAAATAAAATAATGAAGTATTTTTTGAAAGGCCTTCTCGGTGGTGAGGAGTGTGGGCTGTGAAACAGCAGAACTGGTGATGCCTGTGAATGGGACAGGTGTTGTCCTCGATGAGGTCACCCATTCTGTCTTCAAACTAACTTATTATTTTTCACCAAAAATGCTAATAGATTTAAGGCACACAGCAAGAAGCGTCATCTATATACACAGACAGAAATGACGACTACGTCGAGCTTATTAGCTTAT